TATTTTAACCACATGGGAGGTGAGTGAAAAGATACTTGAAACACTTTCATCAAAACATGAGTGCAAGGACCCAAACTATTTCACATGCTATCCATAAAATGAAGTATGAAAGAAATCTTGTGTTTAAGGTGACCTTCGGCTTTCGGTGTACCTTTACTTATCATAATTATAAAGTGGCTACTCTAAGAGCCAATGCATATGCCATACTATTATTCTTACAACTATCATAGTATTTTGGAAAATGCTTCATGCTGTGACAAACTTAAGGGATAATGTGTAGAGAGCAATTTCCTTTGTTTCCTGGTATAACAGGCTCTTCTGAACAAAAAAAGAGTTAAATATTATATGTAGTAATGAGCTAAGAATCACTGCATAAGAATTTTTCTGATTTTTTAATGCACAAATATGCTACTGTGGTTAACTAGTTCAACTTACCAGGTTTCTTATGCTCTAAACACAAATGAACTGGAATTTAAAATTTTATAATAATGATAATGATGTAGTTTGCTGTGATGGATAAATACATATGAGGAAATTAAAAAGGAAACTACACAAAAAGAAAAAATTTAAGCTACTCTTTCTAGGGATTTGTATTTCCCCACACAGAATTTCACTAAGGAAATACAGTCAGTTACATTCAAAACTGTTTTGGCAAAACTGCCAACTTTGTCAACACATGTGACTTGTGATACAGCTTATAAAGGAAAAAAAAAGACCACTGATCATTCTTGAAACTATAAATTCTGAAGACTGAACAAATAAGACTTTCTGTACAATGTCAACTATGCGATTTATACACACACACACACACACACACACGCATACACACACATGCGCGCGTGCGCACACACATATATATATTTTTTGTACCAGGGATCCAACTTGGGACCTTGAGCTTGCAAAGCAGGAGGCAGCACCACTGAGCTAAATGCCTGGCCCAATGCAACTTATTATTTAGAAGGCAAAACAAGCAAAAGAAAATCCTGTACTATTTGATATAAGGAAAAACTTCAGAACTTTCTACTGCAAAGTAGACCAACTGTACTTATCTTTCTGTTTCTAATAGTAATAAATACTCTTACTTTCACCTTCAAAACAGGCTTCAAACCTGTAAAATACCAGTTAGCCTTTATTAAAAGTTGTAGCCATAAAATGGCCTGGTTTAGCTAACAAAAAGACATAAATATTGGCCATTCAGAGTTTATCATTAAAGAAAACACTCTTGAAGAGAGAATATGTCAATTAAGATTTCTGTTCAAGGGCTGGGGATTTAGCTCAGTGGTTTCACCACCTGCTGCGCAAGCGCAAGGACCTGAAAAAAAAAAAAGATTTCTGTTCAATATAAATTGTTCACGACTATTAAGAATTACTCATCAAAAACTGAGATATTACTAGGGTGACTGTATACTTCCATTTCTCCGAAAAGGTCCCACTTTACAATCTACTGTCCTGACAATTACAGCACACCTTTTCACTTTTAAAACTGTCCTGGATTAGAAGATAAATCATACAATCATACTAGCCATTACAATACTTCATATTATTAAATCATGTGTTTTGAGGATTTTATGATGTAATATTCTTACTTGAAAAATCTTTCTAACTTTAAAACTTTGGCTGATTTCCACAGTACCCTGTACCCTGTCAGTTATGGCACTCATACCAATATCACCCAAATTCTGTTGCTCTTTAATTCATCTGTTTTCTGATGTGTTTTATGTATTTAACCCAGAATGGAGGTTTCCCTCTGTCTTCAGATAACAAACAGGGTTGGGAAGATTCTTTTCTTTCAATCTCATACCAAATTCACATCTTTTCTTAATCTTGTAGTCTCCCCACAATCTTTAAAATACTATAAATTGTATCTATTTAAAACTACAATTAGGGCCGGGGATTTAGCTCAGTGGTTCTGCTGCCTGCCTCACTAAGCACAAGGTCCGGAGTTTGATCCCCAGTACCAAAAAAAAGAAACAAAAACTACACTTGGCTACTTTCTTGTCCTTTTCATGCACATGTTAAAATGCCTGTGTATTAAACACTACATTTAGGTTTAATTTAATACTATGTTTGTAGTCATTTCTATAAAAGCTAAGTATCAGACAATCATTCTCTTAACAATATGTGTCTGACCCTGTTAATAAGAAGATTTGATCTAAGCACTGGAAATAGCTCTGGGTTTAAGAGTCAAAAGATCTGATCTGAATGTTGGTCATCAAAAAAAGCAACTGTATTAACTCGGTATGTAATTCTGCTTAATCATGCAGGATCATAAGCATCAAATCAGAAAAGTCAAGAAACTCAAGTACTTGCCTACTACTTAAGAAAGATGACTAAGTCTAACACAAAGTAAATATACTGAACAAGTTAAAGTTATCAGAGATAAAACCACATAGTCGGGGGTGGGGGGGTATTTAAAAACACTCTGGGGCCAAGGATTTAGCTCAGTGGTTCCACCGCCTGCCTCACCAAGCACAAGGTCCCAAGTTCAATCCCTGGTACCAAAAAAAAAAAAAAAAACACCACTCTGGTTAAAAACTACATTATACTATCTACACATACAAAAGTGTTACAGGCTTGCAAGAATGGCCAAGTCAAATTAAATGAGTTCTAATCCCAGTGCCAAGACTTACTCTCAGTTAAGACAAGGGCAAAATTATTTAATATCTCTACACTTCTATTTCCTCCTCCTGAAAATGAAATTGACAGTACTTATCTTACTGTGAACATCAACATATAATCCATGTAAAAGATATGAGCACTGTGCCTGCACATAAGATCTCAATGTTAGCTATCATTTTAATAGCCTACCATTAATGTCTCTTTGAAAAATAAGACCTAAAAAATGATTCTGATGTCAGAAGAAAATTTCACATGTATGTGTATGTGGTGTTTGTGTACACACAAATATGTATCATCCAAAGAAAGATTAGTTGGTAATTATATGTTAACAGTGTGGCCTCAGTAGATTATCACAAGAGCTAATATACTTTATTCAGTACTGGAGAGGCAGCTTGTTTTCTTTGAAAGAAAACCACACTGGCATACAGGACCACATTTAAAAATAAAATCCCATATCTAACAGTATGTGTGGCTGTTCATCTGTAGAACAGAAGAGTCACAGATACAGATGAGACATTTCTAAATCCATGTATAGAAATCAAAAGAAGCCACTTCTTTCAAGGCAATTCATACGAAGAAATTAAAGCAACATTCAAATGAAATATTTACATATTCAACATTTTAAAATAAGAAATTTGGGTATATGCATAATTTACAATTCTATAGTGAAACCTGTCTACAGAAGCCATTTTCACTATATTTCTTTTTCTTTTTTTTTGTACCGTGAATCGAACTCAGGACCTTGCACTTGCAAGGCAGGTGCTGCTCCACTGAGCTAAATCCTCGGCCCTATTTTCACTGTATTTCAATAGAACTTTTTTTTTTTTGGCTTTTGGAGACAAAGAGTCTCACTATGTCATTCAGGCTGGCCTCAAACACATGGCAATCCTCCTGCCTCAGCTTCCTGAGTACTGGGATTATAGGTGTGTGGCCAGACCCAGCTCAAAAGCATTTTAACTTGAGAAGCACAATGCAGCATTTCTCTGAAGTGTTAAAACATAAAGTACACAGTAACTCAATCCAAGCAAACACAAAATAAAGGCCACCGAGCATACGGCATTCTTTTATTCAAATGACTACTTTAACCTATTCAACTAACTACTCAACAATAGAGCCCTAATAATTACACTATGTTATGATACGCAGGACAGAAAAAGAAATTATATTCTTTGGGGGATTTAGCTCACTGGCACCGTGCCTCCCTGGCAACTGCAAAGTCCTGAGTTTGATATGAGTTTGATGCCCAGTAACCCAAAAAAAGGAAAATTATATTCTTTGGTTAAAAATAGAAACTTTAGGGCTGGGGATTTAGCTCAGTGGTGCCATCGCCTGCTTTGCAAGCTCAAGGTCCAGAATTCGATCCCTGGTACCAGAGGAAAAAAAAGAAAAAAGAAACTTCACATGAAAGAATTATTAAAATCAAACAAACTATATCTCACATTTATAAAGATCTTGGTCCATTCTAGTTTATTAAAATAATATAAAATTTATGATACACAATAAATGTCATCATGACTAATATAAAAATCTATATAAACATGCTGTTTTCCAAATCCCCATGTAATGGGGATTGAAACAACAAAGGACAATGTAGGCTGAAGTTTACATGTTCAGTCTCAGTTTACTGATGATAGATTCTATCGCTAATCTATACAAGATTCTATAACAACCATACACACAACACACTGACATTTTATCACTTACTAGTAACCTTAACAGGTAAACTTAAAGCTAAAAAAAAGCATTACTGAAATTTTATGAGTGCTCTAAATTACCAACAAAAAAAACCCATGGACAGTTCAATGAATATACTTTTGCCTTACAGCTAATACTTTAATTTTCAAGAACCACAAAGAAAAAAAGCAAAACTAGTCAGTAACAATGCCGCATCTAAAAGCAATAAACTCAAAATTAAGTTATAAATAATTTAAAGCATGTCATGAAGATGTATTAATAATTTATCAGATAAATAATTTACTAAATAATCAAATAAATAAATAATGAAATACATAAATAAATCAGCAAATAAATAATTCTGCAAAATAACCTAAACAATAAGCCACCCAAACAAATCGCAACCTATAAAACTACAATGATTTTTTTTATTCTGATAGTTTTAAATAAGCTAATGTACATAACTAAATCAACCCTTGTTAGAACTGGAAATATTTTTCAATGCTATCATAAAATCCTCATCTTAATTTTTAAGAATATATTTTCAATTTTTAAACAACTGCATAGGATTAGTTCTCATAAATTATTAGCATGATTATATCTTCCTCTATATTTCACACCTAGTATCTTTAACATATTTTCTCTCAAGTAGCTGGACATTTGGCAATGGTCTTCAATTACACTTTTTTTAACAAAGAGATACTTACAGTGTAGGAATACTACAGTCTGACAGTTTTTCTATCTTCACCAAGTTATTAGAAATGTTCTGCAGGGGAAAAGAACAATAAGAATAACCTAATTAGAGATGACATTTAATTCATTAGTGGACCATGATTCAAAATCCTACAAAATAACAATAGAAGTGGACAGCATTCCTTGTAAACTCTTTCAAGGTTTTAGAAGTCTTTAGTGGACTAAGTTCAATCCAACATAGTCAAGCTTTCTCTATTGGAGCTGATACAGAAGCTGTTACAATTGGCAGGATGTCAGATGTGAAAACAAAAAGTTAGAAGGAGGGCTGGGGATTTAGTTCAGTGGTTTCGCTGCCTGCTGTGCAAGCACAAGGACCTGAGTTCAATCCCCTGTACCAAAAAAAAAAAAAAAAAAAGTTAGAAGGACAAAGTGATTGACTGACATCTAATGCTATCTTCAATTTAGGAAGCTCAGAGTCCTTGAAAGAACATAGTAAGATCACTTAAATGCTACAATCTGAACACAGTCACAATCTAGCCCACCATAAGGTATCAAAACACAAATGACCTAAAAACAAGTCATCATTTATCTTAAGTTCTTACCTACCCAAAGTATAGTATTCTTGAAATCTGTAAATATGTCACAAACAATGACAGCTTTCCCTGTGGATATATGAACTTTGTGATAGGCTTTGACACATTTAAGGGAGTAAATTCAAAGGATAAAATACAACATTTGAAGAGAAGAAAACCAACATAAATCAAAGTACTGTATTTTATATAATTTATCTTCTTTTTTTTTTTTTGGTACCAGGTACCAAACTTGGGTCCTTGTGCTTGTGCAGCAGGCAGAGAAACCATTGAGCTAAATCTCCAACCCCTATATAATTTATCTAAATGAAGTCTTACAATAACCTTTCAAGTTAGATAATATTTTCCCTGTTTTATAATTGAGGCAACTGAGTTCAAGACAATTACAGAGACCACATTCAGTGCCCAAAAAGTAGGGAAGATTCAATCTCTTGTCTGTATAACTTCTATGTGAAGATTCATTGAACTATGAATTAGGAATCAATCTAAAACACAGAAAATTCTAAAATATACTATTTCACTTAAAGCAATGGTGCTCCACCACGGGTGATTTTGTTCCCCAAGGGATATATGGCAGTGTCTGGAGATAATTCTGGGTTTTGTCACTGGAGAGTATTTTGACATTAGTAGGAAAAGGTCAAGGATGCTACTGAACATTCTAACAATGCACAAGACAACCCATTCCTCAACAGAGAATTATCAGGCCCAAAATGTTAATAGTGTTGAGGGTGGGAAACCCTGGAGTAGAGCAGAAAGACTTCTAGTAGTATATGGTTTTCCCAAATAATATATATTTTGTTCAGGATGTGGAGTCTTTTTTTTCCATGTCTAACATTATATACAGTGAGATATATATCTTGGATAAAAACAACGTGTATCCTTGGGAATGCAAATATGTGGGAATTCCATAGTTTCTGCTCGTTTTTTATAAACCTGAAACTGTATCCCAAAATTAGTCTTATTAATTTTTAAAATGTGTATTCATCACTTATTTAACATTAAAATTATAATTAACTTTCTTAGAAGCAATACCAAAATTTAGTAAAGCTATAGTCACAAAGATGTTTTTAAAACTTTCATATATCAAAATTTTTTCAACAAAGTTAGTATAACAACATTAAAAGTTAAAATAATGATGCCTGTAATCCCAGCACTTGGGAGACTGAGGCAAAAGATTCACTGTGAGTTCAAGGCCAGCCTGAACTACATAGTAAGACTTTGTCTCTAAAACATAAATAAATGAAGTTAACTGAATGAATTCATCAAAATAACTAGCCAAGATATTTAATAATATTAAAAATTCACTGGTTTTGGTGGATGCTTATAATCCCAGCACTCTGAGAGACTGAAGTAGGAGGACTGCAAATTCAACCCCAGCACAGACATTTAGTGATTTGGCAAAGACAGGTCTTAAAATTTAAAAATGTAAAGGGTTGAGGGGGTGGTGGGGCTGAGTATGTAGCTCAGCATGAAGGCCCTTAGGTTCTATTCCCAGTACTACCAAAGGAAAAAAAATTTTTTTTCGTAGAGCTGCATTACTCTGATCCCATTCAATGTACAATCTTCAATGTTCTGCATTTTGCCTAAAAGGAATGAAGTGTTTTCTGAAATATTTGTTAAAATTATTAAAAGCACTTAACAAAATTCAGCAACTTAATCATCAGTTCCAGAAATTATTTTCCGTATCATTTAAAATATTATTTTTCAACAATTATTCTCTTTAGTCTCAACATAGTTTTCAGTTTTCAACATGGATCTAGCTTCTGCCATCACATAATACACATTTCCTTATATCAGACTGCTTATATTACCATAAAAAAAGGAAAAGCGAGGATATACATTTATTTCTCCCATATAATTTCCAGTAGATAGGAGTTCCAGTAGAGTTGGCAACTGCAAGTATTGACAACTCAAACTCCTCCCGCCATTTTGCTCTTCCATACTTTTTATTCAAAGTCATCTCATATTCCAAGAAGGTTGTAGGAATTCCAATGAATATTCCCACACTCCAGCAGGGAAAATCAAGAAAAAGGGGATAAACAGCCACATCACTCCCCTCTAAGTTTCAGCTTGCATGTCATAAACGATAACTTAGCCCTTTGGTTATACTGAACCACTTGAAAGGCTAGAAAATATACAGAAACAGAAAAAGAACCCAACACTGCCAATATGCCTAGCTATAAAAATGTGGTTCTCTTCTTGTTTTAACTAAGGAAGGAAGATAAGTTTTGTGAGGTAAATTATAAGAGACAGACTGCAATGGAGGTTACATTCTTTAAAGAAAATGCGAAACTTACACAAAGATTCATTAAGAAGTTCACTGCAAACTGTTAATATTAATAAAAATGAAGGAAAACCTATATTTTTAACAAGTAGGAGTTAAACAAATTTAAGAATAAGTAATCATCATCACTTTAAAAAATTTTACTGCAAATTAGTACAGACATTATGGAAAAAGCAGTCCTTCAAAAAATTAAAAATAGAGCTACTATCTGATCCACCAATTTAATATGAAGTGTATATCCAAAAGAAATCTGCATGTCAAGAAGATATCTGCACTCTAATGTTCACTGCAGCACTGTTCACAAAAGACAAGAAATGAAAACCAAAGTGCCCATTAACTAATGAGTGACAAGAAAAGTTTGTATATACACACAGTGAAATACTATGTGGCCATTAAAAAAAAGAAATCCCTCATTTGCAACATGCATGGAACTGAGGTTAAGTAAAATAAGCCATTCACAGAGACATACCACATCATCTCACTCAGATGTAGAATCTAAAAGCACTGAGTTCATGGAAGTTGAGAATGGAATGGTGGTTATGCAAAGCTAGGAGAGGAGAGAGGGACGGGGAAATCTTGATCAACGGATACCTAGCTACCATTAGACAGGAACAAGAAGTTCTGGTGTGCTATTACACAGCTGGGTGACTACAGGTAAGAATAATGTACTGTACATTTTAAAAAGTCAGAAGAAATTTGAAAGTTTTTACCATAAAAAAATAAATATTTGAGCAGATATGTTTAACCTGATTTAAACATTACACAATGTATACGTGCATTCAAATAACATTACACTATAAATACGTACATGTGTTGTGTTTTTATGTATCCTTTTAAAAAATAGGGGCTAGGAATTTGCAGCTCATAGATCATTTGCCTATAATGTGCAAGATCCTGGGTTAGAACCCAACACTGCAAAAAACTTCATGTAAGTTTTTTTAAAGAATGCAAGATTGATTTGAAAACAGTCTGGACAAAGGAATAAAATATTACAAAAAATAATGTCTTAAATTATGAGAAAGTGGGCTGGGGATTTAACTCAGTGGTTCTGCCACCTGCCTCTCAAGTGGAAGGTACCGAGTTCGATCCCCGGTACCAAAAAAAAAATTATGAGAAAGAAAAAGTGGGTTTTTTTTTAATTCAAGGAATATAGATGTTACATCAGAAGGATGTTCTTTAGTTCAGTTATTCTTAAAATCTGTTGTAATATCCTAGACAAACACAAATGGAATGGAGAGATTATCTTTATCTTTTTAACAAAATCTACAGAACATTCCAAAATAAAATTCTGAGAAGCATTCAACTGGAGGAAAAATGCTGTACAATTAAAGCAAATATCTAACATTTAACAATGATATGGAGAAACACTTAGTAGTAAATGAAAAATATAGGACATCCATTATATATAAATATTTACAAACACACCATTGTGTGTGTGTGTGTGTGTGTGTGTGTATTTATTTATTTTATAGTCTCGGTCCCTCTCTAGATATAGATAAATGATGGTCTGTGTTTATATATATATATTATCTATACATAATCACAGACCATCATACATTTAAATATGGAAAAAGATTGAGATTAAACAAAATTTTTAAAAATGAAATTAAAATGATAATAGTTAAGCTCTGCTTTGAGGAAGAATCACTGTTTTCTCCATACATTTCATTATTTTTTAATTTTTCTACATGAACCACACTATTCTTGTTTTTTTGGTTTTGTTTTGTTTTTTGTACCAGAGATCGAACTCAGGACCTTGCACTTGCCAGGCAAGCACTGTGCTGCTGAGCAACATCCCCGGCCCATGAACCACACTATTTTAATGATTACTGTTCATGAATGACTTTCACCAACCTCAAAAAGCAATCTGGTACCCTACACAAGTGGATAAAGTCAGGCTTCAAGTTATTTTATTACTTGAAATTTGCTTATTTAAAAAAAAAAGGGTGAAGAGTCTCTAACAGGGCTATACCTTTACCAGTATAAATACACATTTACCAGCAAAATACACATTTTTCTTTACTTCATAGTAATAACCCAAACTCTTTGTGCTCAACTTGTATTCAACTTACTAGCAATCACACATCATGTCTGTCAGCTTGTACAAGTCATTCCCAACCAAATGCTACATCCATCATTCAAACAGTTTACCTGTCTGTGGCCAGGGATTTAGCTCAGTGGTTCCTGCGCCTGCCTCGC